ACACCTGTGTCCATGCCTTCCCCATTATGCACACCTGGGTCCATGCCCTTCACCCTACACCTGGGTCCATGGCCTTCCCCTGAAAAATGAAAATGCTGCTCCCCCTTAACCTTTCCCATCAGGCCAAGATCTGCTCAGTCTTCAAGTGATAGCTTACATGTCTCAGTCCCCCGTTCTCAACAAATAATTACTGGATGAATGAACGATAGATTATGAAAATAACCATAAAAGACTATCAACTTTTCAGTACTTACTATATGTCAGGCCTCTGCACTAAGGTCTTGCAAAACATCATGTCACTGAGGACCCACAGAAACCTAAGAGGTCGCAGAATGACTTGCATTTTGCAGACAACCAGATGGATACTGGAGCAGGTCAGGTCATTTGCCTGGGAGTCCTGCGGCTGTCCCCACAAAGCCCACACTCTTCTCCACTGCAGTAAACTAATGAACAGAGACAGAGGCACAGTGGCCACCTGCAACCCACACATCTGACTCCAATTCCTGGGCCTCACGACCCTGACTGCAAATAAATCCCAAAAATCTTTAGACATCAGTCAAGGCCACAGAGGCCAAAGGCAAGAGAGGAGTAAGAGGAGGACACTGTTTAAAGATGAGAGCAGATCCCGATTTAGCTCACCCCATGAAGTGCAGAATCTGCCCCATGCAAACAGAAACATCTCTCTTCTGCTCCTACGCCCCAGGTTCTTGATGGGTTCCGTTCTTATTTGTCCCTACAGCATTTCCAGTGAGAAGGGATTCCCAGGGACAGCCATAGTTAAACGGTCAAAGAGTTGATTCCATCCAGGACAAGGGAGGCTACGATGACTCAGACCATCAGCCAATTCCATTCATCAGAAGACCGATGGGCTACTTACTATATGCCCTCTGCAGTTCAATGTTCTCATGGAGGAATTAGAGGGCCAGAGGAGCTGTGGGTTACATTTGAATGAGCCACATAAGCAGAGGCTTGAATCATCTCTGCAGTGAGACTGGGTATGAAGCCTGTAACCAGCTGCAAATAAGTTCAACATTTGGTATCACCTATGCGCCTTCATGTGCTCTAGAAGGGACAGGGAATTCCGTTGTTTCAGCATCTCAGAATCGTGATTATGAATGAGATTGTTTAATCAAAAGGTCAAGTCCAGTTCGTGGGCACTGACGTTAAGTCGTAATCATGGTCTTATCATGACTCGCATTGACTACAGAAGAGAAGGCATGAAGACAGCTTCCTGGCACCACCAGAGGGCGCTATGAGACCTGTTATAACCAAGGAGGAAACAAGGGCCCAAGACATGGGACTTGGCCTAAACTGGGTGCTGTCATATGGCTCCTGAGTCAGTCATTTCAGTGGTCTGCACTTCAGTGCTGTCTACAGAATAAGAGGTACCAAGATTTATGCATATACCCACTTCACGAGCATCTACTGGGTGCAAGTGTCTGTGCGGGTCCCACGAGGAATTCGAGGCCGTGAGAAGGTAATCCCCCATTCTAGATAAGAAACTGGCAAGAGCAAAGCAACAGTCAACAACACCCAGTACAACTGGGAGGCAGTAAATTTGGGGGACCAGGTGTCTGACTGACCCAGGAATGAGGGGTATCTCAGGATATGGGACTTCCAGGGTTGAAGCCAACAAAGTTCCTAGCAAATGGGGATAACTGCTCACTCTACAGTAAGTAGAACAGTGTCTCTGGAAGGACAGCTCAGTGTGATAAATTAGTAAAATCAAGGTGAAAGTGGGTTTAGAAAAGCCTACACACCCCTAGTCTAATAATACCTCATCATTCTTTGAGATGAACTGCAGGTGCCTCCTTACCCAGGAATTCCTTCCTGAGCCCCCTGGAATGAATGAAATCCCTTCCTCTGTGCTTCCACAAGCCTTCAGGCATCTCATCAAATTGTTTTTACCAAAATGGATTATAATGATAGCTTTATAGAGCTGCCTGCAAACAAGAGTGTGCACTCTCTGAGGGTAAGAATGGTGTGCTCTGCACACTTAGATTATTTAACTTCGATGTGAAATCACATCAGTTATCCTGCCTTGTCTAATCCATACCAAGGTAAGAAGTCGTTACAAGCCACTATGTTTTTATAGAGTGAAGAAGTTGAAATTTTCTAACACTCAGAACTTAATTTCTAGGATTTAGATTTCATAAAACACATGCAAAAAATTGGGGTTTCTAATTGGGACAATAGGCTTTTTAAAAGACCAGGGACTTAGTATTTTGTTCATGAGCTGAACAACGTGATTGTTGTGTGCTGCTAAGAGTGAAACTGAGTATCATAGAAAAAAAGGCTTTTCCTGGAATTTCTGAGTAACACAGCAAGTTGCACTATTTAGAACTAATACTTTGACCTCTATTAACTAACAAGGGTTGCAATTCAATTAGTGGTTTTGTAGCAAGTCTTATAAATTGTGGGAACTCTGTCAGAGATATGAAAGAAACAGAACTAAGAATTTCAGATGGGAATATTGTGAAATCCACTGTCTACAAGC